TGGACAGCAGCATTCATGTCAATATATGAATTTGTAAAAGTTTCCATAAATTCCATCTGATTGTAGTTTAGTTTCTATCATGCTTATAAAAATTACTATAAAACGATCAAACATTCAATTCAGACAGTGAGCTTGACTATGTTAGTTCAGTTGGCTATCAGTCGAAATCCGTCAAACCAATCACAATAAAGCAAAAATTCAAATGAACCAATTGTAAGATAACAATTGGACTCCCTTATACGTCCGGCCACCCTTATTATAAGTCGAGACCATTCCAGACTGTCCACTGATCTGGCTATTGACCAATAAAATAAGCGTTCATAGACTCCTTTATCCGTCGAACCAGTCAAGCCACCCCGCTTATCAGTCGGTTATTCCAGGTCAATTAAATTTCAACTGATCTGGTTACCAACGAGATATTCATTGGATTAGTCATTAGTTTTCAATAATAAATAATGCGGGATTTTTATCACGAAGTAAGTGCGATAAGAAAATAAGAATAATTAATGAATTTTTAATTAATACGAATAGGTAATTTTTCAATTTCAAACATCAGTCGCGCGACCGATTTGACATACTCTAGATCCGCCCCTGCTTGAATTCTCGAGCCCAAATCGCGTGCGGCTTCTAATCACAGAAATATGAGAAAAACACGCTAGAAGTTGTATTAGAAATCAAAAGAAATGATAAAGGCTATGGCCAATAAGTGTTCCCACATGAAGTTCACAAGTCGGCAAGTGACAAAGGCTTGTATTTTATTACAATTACATAACGATGTGTCATGTCTGCTGCGAATTCTATTACTACACAAGTTCTCAATGTAGACTGTTATAGCAATTATTATACATGTGAGTAAATAGTTATATGTAGTGTAATGTTTAAGAAAAGTAAAATCTACGTACCTTGCTTCCTCATATGACAACGTAGATATAATTTTTTGTATTACTATCAATAATCCAAAACATCAGAGCGAAAAATATTTGCGTGTCCACATGCACATTACAAATTCGAACAAGCGAGCAATCGCAAGGCAAGTGCTTCTTCTGTGCTTGGCCTGTCAGTTGTCATGTTACTGTGACATTTGTAGGTGTGTCTAAACGAGGCATTCCATCCTGGTCGTAAACAGCAAGCGTGCAAGCGTAACTAAGAAATCTAGTGTTTCAACGGAATCTTTTATTAGGTGTTTGAAACAAACTTTTGACAAATGTTTTTGGATTTATGTTTTGCGTGAGAATAATATATACGTTTGTTTTTTTTTTATTTCAACTGCTTACGTAAAAACGTTGGCAATTATTTGTCTACAAACCGGTGTATGCAATAATTAGATGCTTTTTCATGTTTCATGTCAGTTTTGAAATAAACAATGAAATAAATAAATGCTTAACACTGAGTAGGGCTATAACTCTTTCAAATACGCCATTTTGAGCTATAACTTCACCAATTAATTATAAATTGGTCATTACACATTGCAATGACAAAGGCAAACAGTATAATCATTCAACAATTGGTTAAAAACTGTTTAATAATAAACATGAAGTTGTTCCAAAGGAAAATGAATTAGTCGAAACGACCAATTCCGTTTGATCAATAAAATATATGATAAATTAATTTATTTAAATTGGTAGCTGAGAGAAAAATTAGTTGTTTTAACATTAATTTTTAACATTGTACGTATATGATATTGTGAAAGTATTTCCAAATTATTTCAAATAAATTGTAAACAATGGCTAACTACAACCATCATCAGACTTTTTTAGTTGAGAAACAAAATGTTACGTCAGACACATGAGTCACAAACTCAATTAGGTAAAGCGGGAGTACCAAGACCAGAAATGAGCTCTTTTTACTTCGCTACAAGAGAATCTTTTTGACCGTTGAATTTTTTTTACTTTTACAAGAAGCCCAGAAGATTTGTAGAGTCGACTAAGGGGGTCAGTGATTATATAAGGGGTCTTTTTATCATGTCATTTGTGAGCCAGCGTGAATACAGGTTGACTTTATTATCCTCAGTTTTTCTCCGTTATTTTTTGAGCTATGTAGAGTTGGTCAACATATGACATCCCAGTAGATATATAATGCAAGCATTATTACATGATTGAGTTCACATGACGGTTCCCGCGCGACTTACTATGCATAAAAACAACGATAATCAATCATCGTTGGTTTGTGTGTTAGTTTTTGGTATCGCGTGAATATCATTTACTATACAAAGAACACATACAGTATTACAGTATTTTGATTACATGTGACTTGGCTTTGATTGTTTAATATATGCATAGTTACTTGTTTTAAAGAAAAACATAACTAAACATAACTACATAACAGACACATTGCATGTGACGTTACAATCCCGGTGATGCATGTATACATCTGGAAGACAAGCAAACGTGACATGTAATTAACAAAGCAATATTATTGTTAAGGGTGATTAAATTTTGTGCAATTTATGGCTGTTCGAAGCGTGCTGATAAGGATAAGGAATTAAGTTTTTATCGCAAACCAACTGTGAAAACCAAAGCGAGCAAAATATTGCAAGATTCACAAAAGGAACTTCGTTCTTTGTGGCTTCGAAGAATGTCTGGCAAACATTGATGATTCTAAATGCACGTATTTACGAGTGTATAGCCTTCCTTTTGTTACTGGTAAGCCAATGAGTTAAAAAATCTTTGTAGTGTTCGTTTGTGTCATTTTATACCATTTGTTAGTCCAGGCGGTGAGTGAGGTAGGTATCACCTAAGCGGGTAATTTACGGGAGTAGGACTATATAGACCAGTTTTTGGCGTAGAACACGAATCCGCATGTTATTCAGTCCGACAAGGCTGCTTTTAAGAGTTATTTCCAGATATTGCGCAACTCAGCCTCATATTCATGCCAAATCAAACGTTTTTAAAATTTAGCTATTATTAATAATAAAAACACAGACGTGATACCTACCTATTAATAATAATAATAAAAAGACGTATACTGGACCAGTTTTAGAATTAGAAGTGCAGTATAATTCAAATGGCAAGACACCCCCCCCCCAATATAGCCTAGTTTTCATGCAAACATATTGTAATTTGATATAAATCTTAACATTAAATATAAATCAACACTACTAGTTTTGATATAGTTTCTTAAAAAATTCAAATCACATACAGTACCTATAGCTGTATCATTCGTCGTCGTCTGAACTGCAGCTGTCTTCTTGGTCATCACTTTCCTCATCGCTTTCCTCATCACGTTCGACAAGTAGCTCGGAAACGTCGTCAGGATATGCTTCCGCGATCCAATCGATGTTCAAGTTCGGGAGCCAACCATGGAACTGGGGATCCTCCAATGACATAATTGGATGCTGTGCTTTTCTCCAAAGCCTGGCCACATAGTTAGCTCTGGTCACATGCTTTCGTAGGCTGCTGCTACATAGTGGTAAAAGAGAAAGGTCAACTACTTTACGCTCTTTGTTTATCTTTTTCCAGAAAATAGCTGACCTTGCCTCGTTAACGTGTTCGATTTTCTTCTCTCCATACAAGAAGCATACAAATCTTTCCATGGCAGTAAACATCTCCTCAAGAACATGCATTTCCATTCCCAACCGGCAAAAAATGTCCAAGAACTCTGGATCTTTGCTCACTTGTTTCCAACAGAAAAGCTTGCCTTTACGCAGAAAGCTTGCCACATAATCATTTCCGGTAAATGCATGGAGGCCAACTAATGCTTTCTTTTGTTGATTAGTTAGACTACACACGTTCAAGTGAAGGAACTTTCGCGTCTTTCCAGAACCGTTGTCGATGTAGATTGCCACATTGCTGATTGGCTCCATTCCAAGTAAAATTATGGGAATATCGATGTCGCCGGAACTTGATCGTACCACACAGGCTATTTGTTGATCATCGCTATGGTAGGATGCATGCTGAATTAAATACACGATCTTAGTATCAGCCTCTTCGTGGTCTGTTGCTAGTTCTCTTACACAAGAAGAACCGTTTTCTGTTATCTTGAGGCAGGCGTTCCCCTTAGCGAAGTATACAACACGTTGTCCTAGTTGGTTCCTATTTTAAACCCACACTTCTTCGATAAGCTCAAAAAGTCGCTCCTTGTTGTATCCGTTACCAAAGAACTTCTTGAAATCAGCTGGTACGCGCACATTCACACTTTTAATAACAAACTTGTCGCCATCACTTCGAAGTTCTCGTTCACTGTTCTTTATCGAACGATCCCTGTACGTATCACATGCAACGTAAACGATGTTATACCGCATTGGAATATCTGACAGCAGTCGTAAAGCAACATCTTTAAACGTGTTCGGTACCTTCACCATACTTCGAATAATAACTGCGTTATCTAGAATTTAGATTCTATGAGCATATTGATCGTCGGAAAATTGCGCGTCGTTTTCAATCAATGATCGTAACGCTGCATCGAACAACACGCTTTTAGCGGTCTTTCTCCTAATGCAATCGCATGTTGCCATGGATAGTGGGACTGGTGCAAGGGGGTAACACAGAGCTTTGTCGATGTTGATCGCAGCATTCTGTTGTTGTGACTTGGCAGCAAGAATACCAAGAATGTCCCGCTGAACAGTTATTTCCTTAGATTTACCTTTCGTCGAAACTTTTAGCTTCATACTTACGTTCGTAAAACTCTTCCATTCCACTCGTTTTATGGGACTGAAATAAAGGGTTTCATTGGCACTTTCTGAGTTTAGTCGCTCAAAGAATGTGTCTCTCGACAATGTTCCACGCTCTTTAACAGACAAGAGGCACTCTGCTACGTCATCAGGTAAATAATTACCGGAGGCAAGGTTGTACAACTTATCGTGGTCCAAGTCAGTGCTGAAAGGATCGATAAAGTCATTCTTTAACACATTTATAATGGCCTTGACGTTATTCTCCGATTTCGTAATTTCCGAACGACGAAAACACTTTCGCGGGTTATTTTGGACCTTGTTTACCCCTGCTTGATTGAGAAGTGCGTCGACATATTCAGCTTGGCATGGTCGTGTGAGAGCCCACTTCTCGTATGCACTATCCAGGGTTGTGAAGTTCTTGATACCACCTATAAAGAGAATGAACAAATACAGTTAACATAAACCTTCAATAATATGCACATGTATATATAACGAAATATTAATTAAATATATTAATGTCATGGAGAAAAAGTACCTGTGGTTTTTGAGCTCTTCATAAACGTCTGCTCTCCTGCACCATCAATACTATCTTTTATTAGGATATGGTGAATCCATAGTAAAAAAAAATTTGTAAGTCTATAAAAAGCATTTCAAGTTTGTTTTCAGTTTAATTTTTTAAGCATCACAATGAACTAAAGACTATATTTTTGCACGAAAACGAGGCTATATACTGGAAATATAGTCAAACACAGGTTTTTGGGTAATTTTTTTTGAATAAAAACGTCTTTCCAGTTTCAAAATTGTTCCAGTAGACGTGGTTTTTTTCATTATTAATAATAATAGCTAATTCTTAAATACGTTTGATTTTGCATGAAAATGAGGCTGAATTGCGCAACATCTAGAAATAACTCTTAAAAGCAGCCTCGTCGGACTGAATAACATGCGGATTCGTGTTCTACGCCAAAAACTGGTCTAGATAGTCCTACTCCTGTAAATTACCCGCTCAGGTGATACCTACCTCACTCAACGCCTGGACTATGTTGTTTTATTTACAATGGCAGGGAAACCATCGGCTTTAACGGACCAAACTAATCGAGACTGGGCTCCATCTAAAAACCTTGGACATACATTTGTCGAAAAAGTTGATGTGGATCGCTATGCTTGTATTTCGAAAAGAAATGAAAAACGAAAAAGAAGTGAACAGTTAAAACAGTACTTTCAGCAGTGACCCAATCGACTTTTACAACCCATCTTGTAGACGAAGAACACGGAGTCACATCTGCTTCATTGTCAGAATCAGAATCGAACAACAAATATTCACAAACTTAACCGAGTTTGTATAAAATAACCGCAATTAAGAGCGAGATCAATCGCTTGACCCAAGAAAATCTTGAGTTAAAAAACAAGATAAGTGACATGACGCTTGACGAGAAATCCTTCTTAAATGACGAAGAAGTCCTCTTTTACACTGGTCTGCCAAATTGGAAGATCTTGTCAGCAACATTGGAGCTGGTACGCCCCTACACATTCTCCCAAATGCTCTTTGTCACCATTTAGGCAGTTGCTTTTAACAGTTATGAAACTGCTACTTAATTTAATTGGTGTAGATTTGGCTTATCGATTTGGAAACATCAACAAGGGAACTGTATCAAGAATTTTCTTACAAGTAATTGATGTTCTTTATAATCGATTAAGCTCTCTTATTTTATGGCCTGACAGGGAAGCCTTAAGAAAGACCTTGCCCATGGATTTTAGAAATCACTGCCCTAATTGTGTTGCCATCATTAACTGCTTTGACATTTTTTTGGATTGTGTATTAAATCCTCTTTCAAGGGCACAAACTTACTCATCCTACAAACACCACAACACGATTAAGGACTTAATTGTTGTCACTCCCCAGGGTACAGTAAATTTTATTTCCGGTGGCTGGGGAGGAAAAGTAGGTGACAAACATTTGACTAAGAACAGTGCTCTCCTTGATAAGCTCTTACCTGGAGATGCACTCTTAGCTGATAGAGGCTTTGATATCCAGGAGTCAGTTGGTTTGTACTGTGCAACTATCAAGATGCCAGCTTTTACTAAGGGTAAAAAACAGCTCAGTGACATTGAAGTTGAACAAACCAGACAAAGTGCTAATGTGAGGATTCACGTGAAAAGAGTGATTGGAAACATTTGAAAGAAATATGCACTTCTGAGTTCAACTCAGCCAATTGATTTTGTAAAGTCTAAAGATAATGAGCCCACTACAATTGACAAAATAGTTACTCTTAGCTGTGCACTAATTAACATTTCTTTCATACCTTATCAGTAAATAAAATTTTTGAAAGATTTTGCATGCGTACACTTAAAATTGTACTAATAATATTTATAAGACATTTGATTTCATTATATTTCACTTATTCAATTTTTTGGGTCTTAAGTATAATTTTCCAGTTAACTCTGGAAGGAGTCCCCTCAATACAAATTTCTTTGCTGCCTCTATGCTCCTTTCTAGAAATTCGTTAATTTGCAAGATTTGTCCAACAAACAAGTATTTCTTTGTCCACACAACAAAATCACAGTAGCTCAAGCCTGTGCATGACAACTGAGCAATAACTTAATAAAGTTAATTGCTATACATTAAGCTTGTTAAATGAAATTAGAATAATTTACAACTGTACTTGATAGTAATATGCATGAATTCTTTTAAGTTGTTTTGTGCCATTTTTACTTCAATGCAAAACAACCTGTCATCTGTTGAAGTATCAATTGTCTCATCTTTATGGCAAAATGGACACTATCAAAACAAAATCAATAGGTGATGTAATTATTATGTTGACCTTTTCCCCATGAAACATAGACACAATGAATAACAAACCTTTATTTCACAGATCCCAGTGCCACAATATTGGTAAGAGACAAGTCCATCTGGAGAAGCACCAAGAAATCCATGGGTTAAATGAATCCAGAATCCACTCTTTGTTACTGAGACATTTTCATGGTTTGTGTTTAGCCATTTCCGATATTCGTATCTTGCCACATCTTCATGCTGGCAACCCCATCTTGTTGCTGCAGTTGAAAATTTCTTCAGCTGAGGATAGCAAATGCTTATGATTAGATTCGTAGAAGGTGAATCTCTGTTGGTGCGAAAAGCTGCTTTGAACATTTGTGCAATGTTTTTGTGACAACTGAGAAGCATTTACTTAGCAATAAGCAAGCAATGATCGTCATATTTTTCACCAACACTTGACGCACCCATCCATTCACAAAATTTTGATGACTATCAAGACTCTTAAAGTTTTTTTTAACTGCTCTTTCGTGTACGGACTGACCGAAAATAATAAATACATCCCAACATGAATGTAGCTGACAGCAGGCCACAGAGCGATATCGTTGAGCCATTGATTTTTTGGTATTTCGTACGGATCATCTCCATTGGAATGTCCTAATTTCATTTTGTAACGCGCTTTACTATCCTTACACTGAATATTTTCTATATATCCAGGCAGAATACCTTTTTTCACCTACAAAGCGCTGACTTTAGGTTACTAGCCATATCAACATATAAAATGTGCACATGTGCTTGTTCTCCCTCCACACGCTCCCCATGCGTGACGTCAGGTAAAATTTTAAATCACAAATGAACAGAGCAATTTTTCTAACAGCAATGTAAATCGATGTGAATGATGGCTTAAATTCGTGTCATCACATTATTAACACAGAATAACTGAATAAAAGGATATTTGATTATTTCTTTTCATTGAAGTTTGTATTAAACAATGCTTGTCTCACATTAATTGCCTAGTGTGGAATCAAATCATTCTTGCTTAGCAACTGACTTCATCAGAACATATAACTGTATGGGCGTACGGAATATTAATAATTGTGTAGGCTAGAGTTCACATTTCCATGATTAGTCAATTTAAGCTCTTTTAAATACCATTGTTTTGTATGCATCACAATATGCATATTTAAGTATGAGCCCTCCCCCAACCACTAAAGATCAACCTACAGCCATTTTAGTATATATATATGCACTACAAAAAACGTCAAATGTTTTAAGTCAGCTGTACTAACGCTGCGTTTACACTATACCGGATTCGCTCATCAAGACATCTTCATTTGCTTTAAAGGGGCAACTCTTCGGAATAAAGGCTTATTAAGTTGATAAATTTAGTCCATTTGATTGTGTTACTGACGTTGAGCAAATTTACTGCCCTTTAACAGAGTTGCCACGCCTTGGGATTTCTCCGAAGATCTTGGGATTTTCTGCTCAAGCTTGGGATCTTGGGGTTTTTTTCGAAATATTGTAAAATCTTGGGATATTTTGTTTAAATATTTTATAGGTAATATTATCTCGTATTATGAATTTATAAATAAGTGTGACACGTGTTTATAAATAAGCTTGACAACCTTCACACCCTCCCACTGAAGATGCCGCCTGAATCTGATGTTTATTTGAAAATAATATAAGTTCTTTTACTGTGGATATTCTTTAAATTAATGTACGTGTATTCCATAGAACGCTGAAGCATTTCTTTCGATCGAAAATATTATTAATTGGTATTGCATTTCTTGGTTGTCTTTACTATTGAACAGTAGAAATCAGGAGGGAGTGAATATTAAAAATAATTTTTAAAGTGGAAGTTTGACAACCAAAATCTGCCATCACAGCCATGTTTTTGACAACCGGGTCCAGGCCCCTTGTTCCCTCCAGTTCTTGTTCAACTCAATGTATTGAACGCGAACATTAAACATCCAAAAAACTTTTTCCTGTATGGTTTTGTAAAAACAAAATGGCGGCCTTTTTCTGAGGATTCAAGCCTGAGGTAAACTTGACTTGTTTTGCTTCATTTGGGTGGGGAGCTCAAAACACTACAGTGCATACACATTTCAGAAGCAAAATGTATGACGAAGAAAGCAACTCAAGTGATAAGAATGATCATCGTCCATTGAGAAAAAAAGCAAAACCTGAAGATAAAAAATGGTACAAGCAATCGTTCAAAGATCCAGAATTAGCAGATTGGATTTCAAAAGATCCTGGAAATAAATTCACAGTGAGATGCAAAGTGTGTGAACATACATTCAACGGTCCGAACAAGTCGGCTTTGATGAAACATAAAGCAACAAAGAAACATACTGATGCATATAAAGCCAAGCAAAATACTTTGCAAGTGAGCAAGTTTTTTCAAAAGCAAACAGGGCCAGATGTTGACGAAATGACAGCAAAAGCTGAAGTTTTGTTATCTGGTTTTCTAGCTGAGCACCGAACGCCTTTTCTTCAGGCTGATCATCTCAGCGAGTTAATGAAAAAAATGTTTCCCGACAGCAAAATTGCTCAAAAAATGCAGTTAAAAAGAACAAAGGCATCATATGTTGTTCAAGAAGGAATTGCACGAGAGGAAGTGGAGTCAATATCAGCAATCTGTCAGAAAAACAAGTTTTCTCTGATCGTAGACGAATCCCAAATTCTTGCTGTTGTCGTCAGATTTTACCATGAAAGGAAAGTGATTGATGCTTTATTGACTGCCCTTGAAGTAGAAAACGGCACTGCTGATGGATTGCATGCGGCTGTTAAAAACTTTTTTCAAGAACGAGCCATACCACTAAGTAATGTTGTTGGTTTTGCTGGCGACAATTGTTCAACAATGATGGGCAAAAATGGAGATTTTCAGGCTCTTTTAAAAAAAGATGTACCTGGTGTATCTGTCTTTGGTTGCATTTGTCACTCCTTTGCTCTCTGCACACACTATGCAAGTTGTCGCCTACCTTCATGGTTGGAAGCATTTGTGAAAGATGTCTGCTGTTAATTTTCCCGTAGCAGTCAGCGGCAACACCAGTTCCGTCTCATACAAGATATTGTTGGAGCGCCTCGTCATAAAGTTCTCAAGATTTTACAGACGAGGTGGCTCTCCCGAGGCCAAGTTGTTGCCAGAACTTTAGAGCAATGGGATGCATTAAAACTTTTCTTTCAATCTGAGTCTCCATGTGATCGTGTAGACGGGGCAGTCAAGATCTATGAAACCATGACGACGAATGGAACCAAGCATATTATGGCATTCCTAAATTACATATTGTCAAAAGTGGACAGATTAAATGCTGAATTTCAGGCTCAAGATTTCAAGCTGCACACACTGTACAGTTCTATATCGGATGAGTATAGAGGCATTTTGGCCATGTTTATCCACGACAAAGTCGTACGAGAAACACCGTTGGAAGAGATTGATCCAAATGACGTAAAGCTATACAAGCCTCTCAACGATATTCATCTTGGAGGAAGATGTAAAGTCCTGTGCACCCAACAGTCTTTGGGTAGCCAAGAACAACGTTTCAGAAACGATTGCCGTAACTTTCTCGTTGAGTTATGTGACCAAGTATAGAAGAGGTTTTCTTTCAAAAGCTATCAGTAGTCAACCCTTCAGAGGCATTATCCAGCAGGCGGTCATTTAACTCGATAGCGGTATTAGCACACCATTTTCCGTCTTTAGTGTCTGAAGATCAATTGGATGAACTTGATGATCAGTGGAGGCAATTGTTATATGCCACAGACTCTCTTAAAGGCATGATTAATTCCCCAACACAGTTTTGGGATGAGATCAGAGCTATTAAAGATGGTAACGGCAATAAAAAGTTTGAACTTTTGGGAAATTTTATGTGCAACCTGCTTGTTTTGCCTCACTCATCTGCCTGTGTCGAGAGAATTTTTCCTCAAGTTAACATGATAAAGACTCCTCAAACCAAACGCCTACATTGTTCAACTTTGAGGAACAGATTAATTGCAAGACAAGCTATTGCTCGACAAGGTGCGCATTGCTACAGGTGGGAGCCGTCTACGAAACTTGTAAAAGACGTACAATTTGATCATTGTCGGAGGGAGTTCTTTAAGAAACATTGTCAGCGTCAGGAACAGGAAGAAAATGTGACTGATGTTTATGACATTGTAAACGAAGAGACTGTTGAGATAGGGTCTGGTTAGCACTTAGCATGTTGTCGATTTGGCTGTTTCTACGATGTTACCATCACCATGTTTGACTTTTTTATGTACTGTTGCGTTTCACCAACTATATTTGATTATTTCAACACTTATATACATAAACTATCGATTTTTATGAAATTAAAATTAAACAAAAATCAATTCATCCCAGTCCTTACATTATGCGTTCATTAGTGGGGCTAATCGTGTACCCATGACAAAGGGGTCCTCCAGAAACGACTGTGGGGGATCTTGGGACTTTTTGCTCAAAATCTTGGGAATTTGTAAAATAGTGAGTGGCAACACTGCCCTTTAGCACAAATGAAATTCAACTTGCTACGATAGTAATCCGGTATAGTGTAAACGGGCCTAAGTAATTATTTGATAATGCGTTATTATAAACATTTTTCTGCTATTGATAATATTGCTCAAAGTTAGGGTCATCTATTGCATAAACCAAAACAATAAAAATCATATGCCGTATCTTTGCTTTGCATAACAATCTATTCTTAAGATGATTTAACTTCCGTGACACTAAATAATATGGCACGTATCGACTCAAAAGATATACATACAGTGCTTAATTTGCCAAGAACGTCAAGTGCGAAAACCTGATAACTTAAACTGTCAACCAGTAAAAAGTTTGTGAGAGAAAATAAACTGAATCATTATGTGTGTTTACGATGTATAAATCAGTCCATAAATGTAAATTGTTTACGATCTATAAAGCTTTTTATACATTTTGAATTAAATTTATTCTTGCTATAATGCCAGAAATTATACTTATTATAGATTACCTGAAAAAATATTGTATAATTATGCAATATGTGCAGTGGCGTAGCCAGGAAAAATAGTCACTCCCGCCAATCCTCCTCGCGCCGGAGGCGCGACCCCACTAGGGGGGTCCGGGGGCATGCTCCCACGGAAAATTTTGAAATCCAGAGCCTTG